CATAACGTTTGGCCTTCTTGCTGCATACAACACCTACTACTACTGCGTCTATTCCAGCCCGTTCTGACCTCAATATTTCAGTATGCAGGCTGATGTAAAATATACTTCCCGAAAGTGTGGCGCACACATGAGAAGACGTGCGAGCCGTGCGAAGGCGTAATGCTGGAGATGGACTGCGTCATCCATTTTTGGATTTCGACTATGTACTGCGCAGACGCGCTGTCGCTCACAAGAGACTATTGCAATCGAACTCCAGATCTTGTCGCTGTTTCGAGTAGAGACTGGCTGTGCCCAAGTGCTCCGTACGAACAAAGAATCGCGAATATTACGAACAGCGTATCGGAAGGACATGTTCGCGCTGAGTCTGGCTCCCTACACTCCAACTTCACCAGATCCTTCACTAATACCTATTATACCAACAATGCTTCACGCCCGTATCGCTACGTGGTTGCGCAGGAGTCTCGAATACCACTGCTAAGTTTTGGTGTTCGAGCAGCTATCTGCCGCCCCTGGTCCGCCCAAGCCAGCGGCTAAGTTCGGCCACGTCAACCATCAGTGCCATCAATTCCAAACTTCCACCGGTCAGAACCCCACAAAATTTGGTGGGAAGCACAAGGCCCATACTACAAACGACCTGGCATTGCGTTTGGGGTTCCAGAACATGCCGATTGTTCGAAAAATCCGTTTTTGGTGTTGTCCAACATATACGCTTTTTTTTGCTCTCTTTCCATCAACAAGAACAACAGCTTCACAGCAGTTGCCTTAACCGGTCTTATGGTCTAGTGGTATGATTCTCGCTTAGGGGAAGCGTCTTACGACGCTCGCAAACCCAAGCATAGCTTGCGAGAGGCCCCGCGTTCGAGTCGCGGTAAGACCCATGTTTTTGCACTTCCTGCGGCCCCAGCGCGCCCAGCAAACTCAGCACGCATTCCTAAGGCTCAGAGGAACATCTCTGGAGCTTTAGGAAGAGCCTGCTATGCATGTGGGCAAGATGTGCTTTTTTTTTGGCTTACGCAGACTTGTTGCACAATATCTTCAAGAAGTAACTCTGCAAGGCACAACGCGGGCTCAAAGTACTTGAAGAGATCTCTCTTGATCCTATCAACGCGTTACTAGCTGTGTACGCGTGTGCGGAGAAGACTGGTCATTCTGTTCCTCTATCTACCCGCAGGATTTGCAGAAATCCAAGACTACCTAAGTAAATCTGTAAGACATATGATGGACTCTTAGCATTCTCAACAGTACTTCTCTGTTCTTATTTCAAATGTGCGAGTATGTTGCACCCGTAGGTGCAATATTACTTTGTTTTCTGTACAATCGATTGTCTACGCCCAGGCGGTACCGTGGAACCCCGTGAACGAATTTCGTACACGAGTAGCAGCCTGGAATCTCAATTTCCGTTCTCAAAGAACCACCATTACTTGAGTCTTCGTCACTTTGCTTTTCCACGCGTCTTCGTATAGTCTTTTCGTAGCGTGCAAAGTGGAACCGCGATCAAGGGTCAAAGCGCGAACCCTCCTGCTGCAAGTAGAAAACCACGAAACCTTGGAAACAACAACGTCACCTCACCTCACCTCACCTCAAAACGTCGAATCGATCTCCCGGCGTGTAGCCTTCACGATTGAAAATGCAATGGCGATGGGATTACCCCAGTCCTAACGAATACATCGTCGGGGCGTGGGAGCCAAAGACGTCGAATCACAAGTGAGTTTGCATGCGGTACCTGCATATTGGATTGGATTTGGCTGACTCGATGTAGTTTCTGTGAAGAAGTACGCAATGCAAAAAGAAGAACAATATTTCAAATAGAGATTGACGATGATTCAGGACTACATAATAACACCCTACATCGGCGAATTCATAAACACCCTCACAAACATCACCTACGGTCCGCCCATCCCCATCCCATCCCTCATCCCCCCTCTTCCCCAAACTCACTCTCCACCCCAGTAATCTACGGCCTCCACGGCCTCCGCCGCGTCGCCCCCAAACCAACCGGCGGCCTCATCTCCACCCTCGCCTTCCCCTACTGGGGACTAATCTCCGTCGGCCTCCTCAGCGCCTGGTTCCACGCAACACTTAAATACCATTCGCAAATGGGCGACGACCTATCTATGTTCCTGGCTGTCGGCGCCATCTTGCACCAACTGCTTTGTTTCAAAGCTAGTCAGAGTGAGAGGAGGAAGTATACGGCGTATATCCTAGGAAGCCTGATTCCAGTATCCGTGTACCACGTCTGGGCCGACGAGATAATCCTGCATGAGATCGCCTTTGCGGTCATGATCTTCCTGGTGAGTAAGTACACGCGCGCTCTTATTAAAGTGCAAATCACGTCCGAAGAAGCTCGCAAGAAACTTGGGAGGATGGCTACCTTTGGTATCTCCACCGGTTTGTTCGGATATTTCTTATGGAACATTGATTTCCACGCGTGTTACTACGTCACAGTCTTCAAGAGATGGGTAGGCCTGCCATGGGGGTTTCTGTTCGAACTACATGGGTGGTGGCACATTTTCACGGCAATTGGCGCGTATGTGGGTATGGCGCTTGTGGAGTATCTTGTTACGATTGAGGAGGGGAAGACGGGAAGGGTGGAGGAGGGGTTTGTGTGGCCGGTTAGGGAGGTGTTGAGGGATTTGGATGGGGTTGAGAGGGAGGGGATGGAGGGGAAGAAGATGAAGTGAGGATGCTGGGAGTGGAATGTGTGTTGGGGGATGAGGGAGTGGGTTGATTGGCTTTGTATTGTATTTGTATTGTAGTATAGCGTTCTAGAGGTGGATGCGTGATGCGAGGAAGCTGGCTTTTTTGGGGTGTACCTGAAAGCATCCAAACTTCTTCCCAAGAGTATATGCAAACTTATACCTGGCAACTGTGTTTTTAAAGCTACTACAAACGCCTTTTCCAATTCTTCGCACAGCCCACCCATTTCATATAGCCATCACCGCTACCTCGCAGCTCATCCACCTTCGTCCCGATGCCATCTCAGCGTCCCAGCTTACCAACCCACCCCTCCTATGCATCCTTAAATCCCCCCAAGTAGCATACACCGCGCCAACATTCCGCTGGAGCTATCATGGTAAAGTCCATCTTCTTCCGCCACATCGGCGCTTGATTGGCCGAACGGAGTTAAGATGTCAATGGGCCCGGCAGATGCAGGTAGAATGTGGAGCCCGCGTCATCAACATCCAGTTACATAAAAATGACTTCGGGCCCGAGAAGACCGTCGGTTCGATATAAAGACTCGGTGGCAGTACGGTGGACAGGACATTACACGATATCAACAGCGACACAATCCATTGAGGTACTAGAGTGATAAATTTGCCGGATTTCTATCTACCCCACCACCAGTCTCAAAACTCTAAAGAAGCACCGAAGATGCCTGAACTTGTCGGAAAGACTGTAGGCCCTGTTGGCTACGGCCTCATGGGTATGCATCATTACCTACTTCGCAATCGCTTCGCTAATACATCACAGGTCTGACATGGCGCAAGAACCCACCACCAGCCGAACAAAGCTACGAAGCCATGCGCACAGCACTCTCACTCGGCGCGAACAACTGGAACGGCGGCGAGCTCTACGGATCGCCGGAGCGCAACTCTCTACACCTGCTCAACGAGTATTTCACCAAGTACCCCGGCGACGCAGAGAAGGTCGTTTTGTCTATCAAGGGTGGTCTCAAGAAGGGTGAGATGGCGCCCGATGGCAGTCGGGAGAACGTCAGGCGTAGCATCGACGAGTGCTTGAAGGTGCTGGATGGTAAGAAGAGCCTCGATCTGTTCGAGTGCGCCAGAGTCGACCCCAAGACACCCATCGCAGACACTGTCGGCTACATCGCAGAGTATGTCAAGGAAGGCGAGCTCGGAGGTATCAGCCTGTCAGAGGTTGGTGCGCAGTCCATCCGCAAGGCGCATGCCGTGCACCCCATCTCGGCCGTTGAGGTCGAGTTCTCGCTCTGGGCGACTGACATTCTGGAGAATGGTGTCGCGGCGACGTGCGCAGAGCTCGGTATTCCCATCGTCGCGTACTCTCCTCTTGGACGCGGATTCCTGGTAAGCGCGACTCTTCTCAGTCAACGACCTACCGCTAATGCATTGCAGACTGGCAAGTACAAGAAGTACAGCGACATCGAGCCCGACTCGATGCTTCAGCACATGCCCAGATTCCAGCCTGACGTATTTGACGAGAACATCAAGTTGCTCCACGCTGTTGAGGATATGGCGAAGGCCAAGGGAGCCACACCAGCTCAGATTGCCATCGGCTGGGTTCTCGCGCAGAGCGGTGCCAAGGGTATGCCAACTATCATCCCAATTCCTGGTGCTACGACGTCGGAGAGGATCGAGGAGAATATGAAGCCGGCGAAACTCAACGACGAGGACATGAAGGCGCTGGACGAGATGCTGAAGAAGTTCCCGCCGATTGGAGGAAGGTACCATGAGTCGCAGTCGGCATTGCTGTTCGCATAGACAACTAAGAATCTAGTCTGAAGCTTGTTAGCACTGTAGCTGTAATATAGCAAGCTTAAGATTGTGTATAGAATTGCAGATCAGAAAGAATTGTAGTGTAGAGCTAATCCGCATTTGAGCCGCCGTGAAGCGACTCTTTGGAATTGCAGAACTCTGAATAGATCATCATAGTGATGAGATGAAGGAGACGGTGGAAGAACTTACCTATAGCCGTTTGCGTGGTGTTGGAGGGAGGTAGAGCAAAGTCATATCGCACCCAGCCTCGTTACCGTGGTAAAGAATGGAGACGTCCAAATGGACATTCGCCCGACGAATGAGCGCCGTCGCATAGCCAACTGACCAAAGTACAGCTTGGTGTGATTACAATCGAGTGATCACAAGACGAGGAGGAAGGAAGAGGAAGTAAGTAAGCTGCCCAAAAATATCGAGCTAAACGGGTGGTCCCTGCACCTCGGGCTAGACGTCGAACGCGCCGTACAGCCATCGTCACGCTCTCCAAACGCGCCCACCGCTACATTCACATCCACATCAATCGCCGCCATGGAATCGCCTTCAGAACTTTCCGAGTACGGCAGCGACGATTTTCCCGAGGACATCAAAGGAGGCCGCCATGCCAGCTACGAAGCCACTCCTGACCACGACCAGCGCCCCAACAAGCGACCACGCCTGAATATCCGCGCGCCATCCTCACCACCCCATATTAATACCATGCCGCCCGAGGAAGAGGACGAGCTGTCGGAAGACACAGATGGCTCTGTGCCCGCGTCGCCACACCACCACCCGGGCATGTCGCAAGACGACGACTATGGCCAGGAACAGGTCACTGTCTGCAAATGGGACGGCTGCACGGCGGGTGACCTGCAGAACATGGATAACCTCGTCGAACATCTTCATGAAGACCATATCGGTACACGGCAGAAGAAGTATAGTTGCGAGTGGAGCGACTGCACAAGGAAAGGCATACCACACGCTAGTGGCTATGCGCTGAGGGCACATATGCGCTCCCACACGAGGGAGAAGCCATTCTACTGCACCCTTCCAGGTAAGTCGCCAGACCAATCTCGATAGCATCTGTCATACTAAGTCCCTTAGAATGCGACCGCTCCTTCACCCGCTCCGACGCGCTGGCGAAGCATATGAGAACCGTCCACGAGACCGAAGCACTGCGCCCCTCGGACCCTGTCCCCAAGCACCACTCCTCCAACCCCACAAACAACAAGCAGCGCCTCAAGCTCGTCCTCAACAACGAAGCCAAGAAGCTGCCCCACGACAAAGGCTCCACACCCGGGTCTCCCTCCTCACATTCGCACCCCCCAAACAGCGCGACGATCCCGTCCAACGCACCCGCACCCGCACCCGCACCCGACGCCGACTACGCCCACAACAACGTCATCTACCTGCAAGACCTCGCCAACCCCTCCGCCCCACCGCTCGTCCAATTCCCATCGGACATCGAATTCACCCCCGAAGAGCTCCAGCGACCCGCCCCCGAACTCTTCCAACTCCTGCGCCGCCAACTCCTCTGGGCAACGCAAGAAGGCGAACAACTGCGCGCCGAAGCCGAGGAGCTCGAACACACCCGCCAGGAAGAATGGCAAGCCAAAGAACTCCTCTTCGAGAACTACATGGAAGCACAAGCCGCAACCGAGCGACGGCGCCGCGTCGATCAAGGCATGCCCGACGACATGGAAGGCTGGCAATCCGTTGAAAACGACATCCAGCCCGCGAAGGCCCTGCCCATCTTACCCCGAGAAGGCAAATTGCCGTGGTGGCGCGACGACACTCAGCAACAACCGCGGATTAAGGAGGAAGCGGTTCAGCCTAGGCCGCCTCCCGCGCATATCCAACCTATCGAAGAGCCCCAGCCTCAGGTATCCGTTCTGTAGCCTGGACTGGAATATTCGAATCCCGCGGAGAGGGATATGGCTCTGCAGTTGCAGCAGCGTATACATCATCGTAGGTTGGAAGCGCTGCGCCTGCGTCAAATTCCTATGTCGCAGGCTTCGCTGGAATATCTAGGTCTGGTGGATCGTGTTGCGTGGTTGGATGCGGAGTGCGTTCATTGGCGTGACCGCTGTCACGCGGTGGAGGAGTAGTTGAATTACAAGGGCCCGGCCAGGAGGCGTTATGCTCATGGGTGAGTGGCAGAGGTGCTGGTATGATAGAGCGCGGCGGCGACGAGGCGGTGGACAAGCGCGAAGTTCTGGTGTTGAGGGAGATGTCGGCGCCATGCCCTCTTGTTTTTCGATAGTACTTGTGTATTACTATGGGATAGAAACCTGGGTGTTCACAGGTCTTTGGGTACATTCAAGGTTTAAAGATACCAATTGATTCAATGCTTCCATAGTATACAGCTTCCATCCCAATAATCCGTCTGACAATTTCCCAATGCCAGTTTTCCATGCCTTGCTCCCGCATGACTATCATTGTATGCCTCTTCGCCGTTGCAGACATGGCTTCCATGCCCCATCCGCCCACCCGCAGCATGCCTTATGACCCCTCGAAGCCAGCAAAGGCTCCATGATTGCAAGTAATGATCTACCTACCCTTCTTCTTCTCCGCCTCAGCGTTCTTGAACGGGAAACCAGACGTCCTCTTATCCGCCCCAGTCTTCCTGCTGATCCGTCCATTGCTGCTCGCAAACAAGATGCACCACAGTGCCACTATGGCCAGGAAACCGGAACCTAGTGTGCCCAAGCTGAAGGCCATGACGCCGGTGCGCGTCCACATGGCGTAGCCGTAGAAGGCGAGGGCGGAGTGGAACATGGCGGTTACGGTGAGCGTGGGGAGGGCGTAGGGGGCTTTCGGGTCTTCCTCGTTGGTTGTGGCGCCTGTGGTGGTGTTAGTTTGGTGTGCAGATGGAAGGGAAATGAAGAGGGGAAAGTACCTTCAGAGAGTCGACTAGACAATGGAACAGACCCCGTGAGGAGGACGGTTAGGATACCCAGGGCGATGAGCGAAAGGCCCAGGGTGCGGGAGAAGTAGACTTCGAGAGCTGATCATTCTTGTTAGTACATCATCGCATGGCATGTTTCCTGGCTTTCAGTATATACGTACTGGAAGCTTCGCGGACTTCGGGGGACAACAATGCTACTATCATTGTGGGGGACGCGATCAGAGGCGCGGCTTGGGTCGCTGTGTTTGTATTAGCAAGCTGCACGGTGTCCTCGTGGAAGGACATAGAGCTTACCGAGCCATGCGGCAGTGCCGTAGGAGTAGAAGTAGTAGACCTAATACCCATCATCAGCATTCGTCCATTACGCAAACACCCCAGCCATCAACCGTCCCTACAACAACTCCACACTTACATCCATATTGAAAGAGGTCTTGCGATGTCAATTGAGGTATAGTCGTTCGTTCTTGATGTACTTTGAAGAGGAGTTGCAAGCAAAAATGTTGTTTCGTGTAAGGACTGAGAGGAAGGGTTGAGACGTGGGTCGCGGTGATGCAATAGCGATGTTCCTGGCGGGATTTGCGCAAGCATCCGCGCAGTCGCTACGTCATTGATGGGCTAACATGGATACCGCGGCACATGGCGACACGCTTGTTTGGGGAATCGGGTTTACTTGTTTCCCATGCGTGTTACTGCTTTCGTGGCATCGGGACTGCTTTCGTGGCATCGGAGAAAGTGGTCATGTTCTATTGGTGATGTTTGGCTGGGGCGGGTGAGATTGTGTACGAGTGCGATGGCGTTCGAGGCTGATGAGCTGGGTATATGGAAGATGTGGCATGCAGCTGTCACTCCGCATCTCCAAGTTCTCTAGCGAAATCTACTTAGCTGTCTAGCTATGTTGCTGCGACGGAGAACACGTAACTACCTTCGCTTCCCAATGGCTCGCAACACCACGAGGCTCGCGCATCGTGCTTCGGCACCCCACGGAACACAGCCCTGGAGTCATCAAGCAGTTGCAGCATCCTAGGTAACAAGCACACGCCGATAATTTGTGCGCGAGGCTACCATCATATACACCTTCAGGGTCTGACTCCATCTCCGGTAGTAAACCTCGTATCGCTCAATCTAACAACTACCGCACATACAGCTCCCAAAGTCAGCGCCTCCCGCACACTTCCCAAACAGGAAAGCCCACCATAAACCATCGATTCCAGTCAACGGCTGCCAGACTCCGGCCCGTGGTACCCTCTCCCCGCCCATCCCCCAAACCGCCTAGGCACCGCCCATCCAACGGTCAGAATCTACCGCAAGAGGAAAGGAAACAACAAAACCGTCGATGATGGTAGATCCCGCTATCGGGAAAAGATCCACGAACCAGAAGAAGACGGCCTTGGATCGAACAGCCGGGTCTGGAAGCAAGAGATTCTGGTTAAGGGCTTGGGGGAGTTTGGTAGCGAGGCAGTCATAGATGCCGAGATGGGAAAGAATGAAGGAAGCTTGGATAGGTGTGGATGACGGCGGGCGACTGGACACGTCGCCGAAAAAGCAAAGGGGGCTGGACACGGAGTCTGGGTCAAAGATGTCACGCGACGTGAACGAATGCTGAATGAAGAGTAAGAAGTATTTGGATTGACGACAGCGTATACAAGCCATGCCAGGCTTTCCCACGAATACAGAGGACTAGCAAAATCGACGTCGCGCATCCATGTCCAGGGCGTTCCAGCATACAGAATACGGAGATGATGGACACAGCGCATCCGGCATTCTGTTCTATCCCCAGAGACCTCTCCCTCCCATCCCGCGCAAACACTCCGAACCTTGGAACCGTCTATAATCCCAAATACCTCACTCCCCACGCCCCCTACCAAACAATCGAACTACCGAAACAGGAAATTCCCCATCTCCATAGATTCCAGAAGGCTTGAGGAGAATTACTCGCCTCCGCACTAAGACAAGGCTGAAGACCCTTCCAGACGTTGCAAGTACCATCAAACTTTACTTTCGACACACAAAACAGCCCCAATTAGGCAATACGACATTACAACCGTAGAATGTAGTTCAGGCGTCCCACCTGCGAGAGTTTGGAGCTTGCAAACATTTAAATTTGTTTTGGGGGTTGAATTTGGTTTTTCGGGGTCAGATCATGGACCGCGTTGTGTCCATGCTGCGGTGCCAAAGCGCGTACCAAAGTATGTTTTCGAAAGTGTTCCCGAAAGGGCAGTTTGGAGGTGAAGTGTTGATTCCAGATGTGGAATGTGGCTTGATGTGTGAAGAAGTAAGATGATGGATGGGCGATTTGATAGGTTTGTGGTTTTCTTTTCGGGTTGCGGATGGACCGTGTTGGGCGTTGAGATACCGCGATAGGAAGGAGGAGGGAAGGTGTGGGAGACAGTCATGAATCGCATGTGGTATCTCCGTAGGGTTAGATGGGCGTGCGCTGTATTGCGGATGTACTCGGACTGGTTTGAAAAGTAGGTATGGGAGTTTGGGGCGCGGCGTGGATGTGATCCACTTGATAACGTTAGTGCGCGAAACGTGAGCGTGGAGACGCGAAGGTTACGAGAAAACAGAGGCTTTACATTTGTTTAGTACGTGCTTGCTGCTATCGTGAAGTATGAGCAATAAGGCGACGAGTTTAATCCGAATTGTTGCAGCGAGCAACAGCATAGACGACTTAACACTCAAGTGCTCATGCATTCGGGTTTGCTCATTTTTGCGCTTAAGACCTCTTTCACAGCTATTCGAAATACCATGAAGGCTACTCTGTGTTTGCCAATAGATGTATTTCATTGAACCCTATGCCCTAGTTCAACCCCAAAACATCCAAACTACCCTCTCCAGCACGTCGCCGATCTAGCAGGCTGATAAAGATCCCCTCCCGGAGACGCCAACCCTTCAACCCCACCGATCCGTCCTTTGCAGTTATCCTCGCTGTTGAGAAACTTGTTAGAACCCCACTTGGAAATAACAGTGCGGCATAACATACCGAAAGAATCGACACCTATACCCATCATATATCCTGACGAGCGTAACAGTTTTACCAAAGTTTGGCGAACATCCGCCGTTGACATAGAGAGCAGCATAGAAAGGGCTGGCTGCGTAAAGGCCTGCTACGTCATCCGCCAGCTGTGCGGTTGTGCTTTGAATGGTGGGCAGACCGTTGGCGGTCATTGGGAGGGCGATGAGGGAGAGGAGTGGGAGGGCGGATAAACGCATGGTCAATCTGTGAGTTTGGTAAGGATATTGAAGATGAGAAGATGCGTAAAAGCTAAACGGGAGAGCTATGGAGTATGGACGAGACTGTGTGTGATTGACATGTAGTAGATATGTGACGAGATGAGAAGATAATTTATATAAGAAGAAGCTGGGAAGCAGAGGCTAAGCTATAGATTGGATACCAATAAAAGGATAGACTAGATAGTTCTGCCTATGTATGAGCACGGCGCAGTCAACTCTAATTTATATGTACTGCCGAGCCAGCGCATGCGTGCATATATTAGTCAAATGTGTCTCGACGTGCCGCAATCTTCGGACGAGTCGGATGCATTTGGTTGATCGAATCTCACATCCCATCCCACCCCATCTCCAAAAACGTCCAACCTACCCATGCCAGCACGTCGCCGACCTCGCATCTTGATAAAGCTGCCCACCAGGCGCCGGCAGCCCGTCGAACCCGCCAATCTGTCCTCTACAATCATCATCGCTGCCACGCAAATCATCATAAGCTATCATAACGCAACAGCAAGAAATCAACGTACCGATAGAACCGACATCTATATCCTCCTTTTATGACAACGTAACGAACGGTTGCTCCAAAGTTCGGCCCACATCTGCCGGTGACGTCGAGTGTAGAAGCTGGGGTCAATACGTATCCTGCGTAGTCGGGCGCTGCTACTTGGAAGGCTGTAGACTCGGGGGTGGGCAGGCTGTTGACGAGTGTTGAGAGGGCGATGAAGGGGAGGAGAGTGTGTGGATGCATGGTTGGTATATTTG